TTCCAATCTCTTTGCTTTAATTATACTAAGAAAAATATGTCTAATTTATGTTCGCTCTGAATTGCAGTTGAAATCGAAATTCCCCCTAAACCTTGAAAATCAAGTCCTCGTCCTATTCAACCAGTGTCCTTCTGGCTACTGAACACCAGAGGGTGCCAGTCAGTGAAGACTTGGATACAGGCAGAGGGGTAGGGGAAAGAATTCCATTACTAATGGGAAAAAAAAAAAAAAAAAGATCTTTCACTGTGTACCCTTATCTACCATGAAACATTACCATGGTAACAGCACCAGTTAAGATGATTGTATATTTAGGTCATAGTATAAAAGAAGATGGCACATGTGCAAACAGAAGAAATTGAAGGAAAAATTATAGAGAAGGAGGTAAGCCAAATAGAACGTATCTCAGTTTTTGTCAAGAGCAGTTCTCAAAGCCACATTATGCCTTCCCCAGCAAAGGTGGACAACCCATTCTGATTAAAATTAAATGGAACCATTGAAATTCAGCACTTTCAGTGCCAACAACAGTAAGGGAGACTTCATCGTGGCAAAGGAAAGAGACAGACGAGAAGTTAGCTTCTGTGTGTTCTTTTGCTGTGTCACTTTGGGAAGTCTGTTTATCCACTTCAGCACTTACCACGAGTGAAAGTGGGTAATATCAAAACTCCCTCTCTCTTTGCCTCAGGCACCAGAAAATCTCTTTAGTAAGATCTCAGTAGAGTTGAGAGATAGAAGTGACACTTCCCAAATGTCATTTTGGGGCCTCTGTCCTCCTCTCTTGGGCAATTGCTGGCTGCATAGATCGAGCATGTGGTGCTGCCTGAGAATCAACCTGGCACTGAATTTTCTCTGCTTAGGGTTTAGGGGATCCAGCAAGAATATTCCAAGTTGAATTAAACAGATGGAGAAAACGTCAATGAACTCTGAATGCCACAGTTCTGCTTTCCCTAAACATAGGGAAACCAATGATAGGACTGTGTATAGAACACCCACCAGCACTAAGACCAAAGACTAGAGCCCAGCAGGACTACATCCCATTGGCTATACGACTGTGGGCCATTACCGGACCCTTCTGCATGCTGGTTTCCACCTCTGTAAAATCAGGAAAATAGCATTTACTTCATAGGATAGTTGCAATAAAAAATGAGAAAATGGGTACATCTATTTATCCATTCAATCAAGGTTTAGTAAGTTCTGAGGCTGTGCCACCACTGTCTTCAATTGAGAGGGTGAAGCACTAAATAAAGCAGATAATGTAATACATGTTGGTTGCTTGGATGCTACCAGAGACTTGGAGAATACATATTCCAGGAAAGGGGGCCAGCTGCCCTCGCCCCACACAAAACACAGACCATCACCAGCCCCTGTGTGGCTGGGGAAACACAGTGCTGAACTTTGGAGAAAGGAGTGCAAACATCTGCTCAGTGGGCCAAAGGGAAGCAGAGTGAGGATACATGGTGGGAAACAGAAGACAACTGTTAATGGCCCTAGGCCAGTATACACAGTATCTGATAGGAAGGATCCACCAGAGGAAAGTGACACAGACAGCCCACATCATAAAATGGTCAATCAGTGTCAATGGAGAAAATCAGTCCTCGGGGAACTTGTGTGACAAAAGGCAGTTTCTATTTCCCTTCTTAAACGGAAGTGATTTTAAGATAAGATTAGGAATGGGCCTTGGTTGGTCTTGTGCAGGAAATCACCAAACAGCGTTCTCTCACACCCTAAGCATGGCCACCATGTGTGGTGGAGGCTGGACTCAGCCCTGTAGGATGCTTGCCCTCAGGGATTTTTTTCTTCCCCTCATTCTCTCTTCATTTTCCTCTCATTGTATCCTGATTTCTTTTTCTCTTCTGCACTCCCTGAGCTTCATTCATTGCTGTAGGTCAGAGAGGGGCTGATCTTTACTGAGAACTGGTGACCACATTTTCAGTACGCAGCCACCAGCCAGCAGGCTGGACACTGTGCTTCTCTTTCTGCCTCTGAAGTTGTGCATTTTTCTTGTGTCCTTGACCCTGGGGGCTGGCAGTTCTGTAATGGAATTGGAAATCTGCCCCCTGAGCACATTCAGCTACATAGACTGTAGACTGTCTGGCAAAGAAGGATATAGGGCTGCTTCTGGGGTACTGTGGGTTTGGATTGTCTGGTCTGTTTTTAATGTGAAGCAGAAATATCTGCACCCCCCAATGGAGAGATTGTAGAAACTCACTCCAAAAGGATCTTTACCTCTGTTTGAACTGCTAGTTTCTTCCACATCTGACTCAGAAGTCGGCCCAGAGCTACACACGCGTTCCTTGGGTTCTCTTGTGTTGGACTGGGATAGGGACAACCAACCTACACGTTTTCTGACTCCAAACCCCTCCCGGCGCTCTCAGGCACACTTAGACAAACAAACACTATCTATTTCTTGTACAGGAAGACAAAACATCTGTCAGGCAGCCTCACTCTGAGTGTTGGGTCCTAGGCCTACCTGCGTTCCCACTCTACCTCGTTCAGAGAGCTTCCAAACATTATAACAACTTGGTCTAATCTTGCATGCCTTTGTGGGAGTCTGCTTTATTTTTAAGTTTTGATTGGCATGATTTTTTTTTACCCCAGTAATAAATACAGTCAATGCCTGGCTATTTTATTACCATACCTGGAGCACATTATTCATAACAGTGATGACAATAAAAACGTAGTTGGCACTCATTTTACTTCTTGAGTCCTAGCTGCCAAGCCCGCAAAGCTGCGGTGACATTTTTGGCACAGAATTCTTCCATCCACTTGACCAGAGTCTCATAAGTCCACTTTCTGAATTGTAGCCTAGTACTGTACAGATGAAACTGTCTCCTGGCCACATCAACTGGCTTGATTCTACAGCCATCAGAGCCTTGGAGACCATCCCTGAGAGGTGGCAAAGGTATGCCTAATTCCTAGTGGCTTCTCCTTCACTGTACCATCAGCCTTGTTATCTGCTTAGTAATGAAAACTTGTACCTATTATTATGCATATAATATCTGTAGCCATAAACGTATCCAGACAGTTTATATGTATACACCGACTGCCAGCAAATAAGATACAAAGGCCTTTGCCGCACAGTCTAGAGTTCATTAACTTGGAATTTATAAGCTGCTTGTCTTCAAAAGCCGCACCATCCCAGGAAGACAGAATTGCAAAGAGCGCAGGGACCTGCTGGACCTGTCCTGCACTGGGTCATCACTTCGACGTCCCTGGGTAGCTCTGGCAGGGACACTAAGTGGGGCGGGGTAGGACGAGAGCGCCAGGGCGCTGCAGCCTCCGCGCCTTCTATGCCCCGCACTGCTAGGGCTTCAGAGCATCCCTCTTTGCACCCCCAATCCAGATTCAGTTATTCTGGAGGGCTTCCCGGTCGCCCCCGGGTTTCCCTCAGGATCTAGGCTGTGTGCTCTCTCTGTCAAGTGGAGCTGCGCGCTGGAGCGCAGGCGGGTGTGTGGCACAGCGTGGGGAAATTGTGTTGGTCTCGCTGGCTGCGTGTACCAGGGAACGGACGCGCCAGAGGTTGCCACGCACCCACTGCCTCCCAGTGCTAAGAAAAGAGCAAAAACAAAAGCAAAACAATAAAGAAGAGAGGAAAGGGAAATAGAAAGTCAGCCCGAGGGGACTCCGCAGAGTGGGGAGCAGGGGCTCCGCACCATAGCCGGCTCGCCGGGCGCGGGCGGGCGGGCAGGCAGACTTGGAGCCGGGCGGCTGCAGTCACAGACGTGCTGCTGTGGCCGTGAACCGACATAAGGACACCAGAGGGCGGCTTGGGTGATAAGTCCGCGGGCAGGTCTGCTTGCGCTAAGCGTTTACCTCCACGGCCAGGCTCCCTTCCTCCCTCTGCGCTCGGAGTAGCTCTTCGCGGACAGTTCCACACATGCAAGATCCTTGGGCTCACAGCCGGGAACTAGGAGGTCGGTCAAGCCTCCCCTGGATGAGCTCTGTGGCCCAGAGCAGCCTCCAGGACGGCGAAGGTTAGGAAGCACAAAAGAGAAGAGGGGCCAGAGACGCACGGAGACAGGGTGTATGCCCTGCTCAGGGTCAGTAATTTGGGAGCATTTTCAGCACAGGAGCAGGGCAAGCTCCATCGACTCCGCAGGGGGCACCCTAGGGGCGCCAGGAGGAGCGCACAGGTGGAATTTTTACGCCTTCTGCGCACCATCGGGCTTGGGCAGCACCTGGCGGGTCCTGAGAGCCACAAGTTAGCTGTGATTGCTCAGATCTGCAGATGTGGACCTCCGGGGACATTTGAGGCTCAGGTTTCTCCTATCTATGACCTCATGGATCGCCGAGGTGGTTCAGGACCCACAGTGACTTGATGGCAAAGCCACCCTCAGGGACCAAAGCGACTCAGGCTGGTGCCCAGTCGCTGGCCGCGGTAGACTCCAGCCTCGTGCACCGGGCGGATACAGGATAGTCGCCAAAGGCTTCTCTAGCTTTTGTCCCGGAAACCTTTCCCCATTTGTATTCCCCCTACAACCTTGGCCACGGCCCCGGAGCGCAGCACTAAAGCTCCCTCCAGCACCGAGGGGCTGCTCGGAAGCGCAGTCGGGGACTGTGCGGAGCGGAGACCAGCAGGGCCTCCACCCCGAAGCGCAGATGATACGGTCAGACCTCAGGAGCTCGAGGGGAGAGAGGCAAAGCTGTCCTGTCTGGGGAGGGCGGTCACGGAGCCGGGGCTGGTGACAGCAGAGGAGATACCACTCTGGAGCAGGGAGCGATGCTGGAGCAGCCTGCTTCTCCACATTCCGCCCGACCCGCTGACCCGCGTAATCGCGCCCACGCCCCACGCTCTTTCTCCTTTTCGTCTTCTTCCCAAACCCACCACCGCTGCCCTCAACCCTCGGAAGCCCCAGAAGCAAAAGTTTCCTATCGAAAATCTGCACGTGTGGGAGATCCTCTTTCAACTCCCCCTAACCCAGACCTCTCCGCTCCAGGAGGAGCCCGGCACACCGGGGCCCCGGCATGGGCAAGCGGAGAAGTGGGCAGCGCGCCGTCCTTACCTGCGGCTGTGTTAACTCCGGTTCCACCCCTGGCTGCGGTTTGGTGGAGGCTGGAGGAGCGGGGAGCCCTGCGCGGGTTCGGGGTCGACCCGCCCGCGCGCGAGCTGCGCACAGCTTAGAGTCCGAAGCCAGGCGCTGGCTTGCTTTCTCCCTTGATCTTGCAAGAGAAAAGGAGAAGATTAGTTGGCGCCGCGACACCAGAGGGGTGGGGCGGGGGAGGCGGGGAGACGCGGGACCCAGAGGCTGGGCAGGGGATGCGGGGCTCGCGCTCAGGCAGAGTCGCACATCCCGCACCGGTACCCGAGCTCGCCGGGTCTGGGACAGGTCGAGGTGGATCCCGGCGCTTAACTGCCCCCGCCCCCGCCCTCCATGCTAAACTACGAAGGAGCTAAGCAAATAAGACTTTCGAACCTGGCTTTCACGCAGAGGAGCCTGGAGACCAAAATAGAACCGAGACCTGGAGGCAGCGCCGAGCTGGGCGGGATTCATTGCTTCACCAAAGTGCGGAGAAGTTGTAATTAGTGTAGGGCGAGGAACACTTATCCTAGTGCCTCTGGCGATTTCCTTGGGAATCTGACTTCCAAGCTCCGGCCACCCCGCAGGCTGGGTGTGTGTGCGTGTGCGTGTGCGTGTGCGTGTGTGTGTGTGTGTGTGTCCGTGTGCGCTCTCTGGAGCTAGTCTGTGCGCCCAGGCGCCTCGAGTAATAGCAGGAGAGCGGGTCTGTGTTGGTGCGTGTGTGTTCGATTAGCTGCAATGGGCGGACAATTTCTGGAGAGAACATTTACAATTTTCTTTCAACATGACTGGATTAGTTGCCGTAGAAGGAGCTCCTCCAATGAGATCTCGTCTGCTCTCTGATTTGGTGGTTCTTCCGAGCAAACATGACAGCCTTTTCTCCTGGCTCCTGTCTGCTTCTCTCCATGTCAGTCCCCAGAGCCCACCTCTCCACCTGCAATTTCTACATCAGAACCTAGGCCATCGCCACCTTCAGCACCACCCCTCTGTCCACCAACCCTGCGGGTACGTGTGGGCTACAAAGGTGCTACCACTGGACACACGCAGTATTGCCTGTTGATTTCGGAAGACACTTACACCCAGTTTTTCCAGGTGGGGAAATGTTAGAATAAATGCACGAAGCTTTGTAGTAAATATATAATCATGCTGAACTACTCAGATTATTTATGTGTTTGGGAAGTAATGCCATTAGAAGGAGTTTTGTGTTTTAATTTCACACAGGGCTCAACTGATGCGAAGTATAATGTAAAGTGTGTGGTGCTTTAGGGGAATTTATGAAGTCCATGTAAAAAACAGAATGGAAAGTTTTTGTGTTTGGACCAGCCTTAAGGCTTTTATTTCTTTATTTTAATGAGTAATTCCTTCTCAACGTTGCACCCATTATTTTAAAGTGCTAACCTCATTTGATAGATGCAATGATATGATTATTCTCAGGTGTAGCTGAGAGAAAGACTTGCATTTGCAAAAGTATATGTGTACATGAAGGTAATATTAATATGTGATATACAAATTGTGTTTTCTTTCATCTTAGTTGAATGAAAAATAGTTGAAATTTTAAACTGAAGACCAGAATAGGGCATTACCTTTTTAGGTCACAGAAATGGTAAAGACTATGCTAACAATAAATTAATTTAATATGTCCAGTTAAATTCAGTTCAATTCTTGATGTTCAAACCTTTACTGGGTTTTAGAGGGCACCGAGAATAGCAACAGCTCCTATTCTTGTTCTGTATATACTTCTAATTTTATTGGTAAGAAAAGATATCCAAATGAAACAACTACACAGCAATTGAAAGCATGAGTAGTTATACAGCAATACACATTCACTGATATATTCACTGATGATAAAAATCCTTAAAGTTTCTGCTCTTTCTGGTAACTCATAGATGTCTCTTAGCAGAACTTGGCACAAGCTTGATTCATTTGATTAAAGCCATCCTGACATAAAGCATTACAAAGGTTAGTCTCTGTTCCCAGTATCCACACTCACCCTGTCATCACTGGGGGAGAAGATCCTTGTTTTTTAAAAACATAAACATGGCTCTGTTCTGTCTGGTGCCCCAACACTGGGGTCCACTCACCGGACATTTGATTTTTTAAAAATTTTTTCCCCCTTAGGCACTCCTTTGAAAATAAATTCACAATTTCATTCTTTACTACATTGTTTCTGTCCTCTAAGCTTCCATGACATTGCCTGAATATTTTTGAATGCACACACACACATACACACATCAAGCCAAATAAAAAAATGAAGAGAATGGTTCTGTGACTAGCCACAGAGAAGAAAACCATGGTCTTGTACTAGCGGGCTACCAATGCCTAAAAATAGATGGCCACTGAAGGCTAGTAAATACTTGTGTAAACTTCAATAAGTCAGACTCTGAAGTAGTATATTCAGTAGAAGTCATTGCCCTTAAGGCATTTTTGGAGGAGTAGCAAACTGGAACTGCATTTTTAGTAAACAATAATCAATGATTGCCTTCTCCTAAGCCATCACAGAGAACAAGTTATGTACTTGTATCTCTGCCCAATCACTGTGCTTTTGGAGAAATGATTGAGCTACTCTGTACCTTAGTCTCTTAACTTATGAGATGGGTACAGTAATATCTACTAAGGGTGTTATAAGAAATGGCAGAATACTTCATGAAAAGTTCTCAGTTGAGTGCGTGGCATATGAGGAATTAGTTATGATTATGTCCATCAAGATTTAAAAATAAGCCAGGACTGGTGGCACACAACTATTTACTTAAAAGAATCAAAAGTTTCAGGGCTGTCCAGGCAAAATAGTGAGACCCCTGGGGCTGGGGATTTAGCTCAGTGGCAAAGCACCTGCCTGGCAAGAGCAAGGTCCTGAGTTTAATTCCTGGTACCGGAAGAAAAACAAAACAAAACAAAACAAAAGACAAAAACATAGTGAGACCCTCTATCCCAAAACAGAAAGGGCTGGGAACATAGCTCAGTAGCAGAGCACTTGCCTGGCATGTGCCAGGCCCTGGCTCAAACTCAGTACTGAAAAAACTGTTTAAATATGCATTCCCGAGCCACACCTATGGTCTACTGAAGCAAATATTTAATAGAGAGGCTTGTCAGTAGAACTTTGCTGCTCATTCACTTCATATGATGAGCATGTAAAACATAACCCGTCATAAAACTAACCCCAGGGGACCGCATCCCTTTCCCCTTCTAGTTTCTTTCTAAACCAGAAATGTTCATGTGTTTTCTGAAAAATTTTTCATCTCTTAAGCAAGTTCTTTTTCTGAGATAAAAAGAATGCTCCTTCACCCCAGGAACATAGCATTTACATTTATTAGTAACTCTTGGTGTGGAACATTTTCAAAAGTGCTTTTTAAAGACTTTGTAGAATGCATCTATGGGTTTTCCTTTATCTCCATGCCTATTTTCCACCTCAAAGAACTCTAATAAATTAGTAATTTCCACTTGTGAAGCCAAACTTCATTACTGCTCTTCATAACATGAGTTTTAGTCATGGACTGGATTGCTCAGATTCCTGAAAAGGATGACTTAGAACCTTCCATAAAGTTTGCTTTTGAATGTGACTGTAAATAAGGTCACCACTAATGTGAGGAGATGGGGGTCTGAGGGTCTTATTCTTAGGAATGTGGTGCATATTTTACTGTGCCATGTTGATTTCAAGGCAGCAATAATTAAGCAGCAATAATTAGGTGCACAAAACCACATGTTTTCATCATAAGTAGATTAAGAAGTGGACAAGGTCCATTCCATTGATTTCCCACCAGGTATGGGGACCGTAGCATTTTTTGGTTTTGCCCCCTGTATTTTCTTTCTTTCTTTCTTTCTTTCTTTCTTTCTTTCTTTCTTTCTTTCTTTCTTTTTTTTTTTTTTTCAGTACTGGGGATCGAACTCAGGACCTCATGCTTGCCAGGTAGGCGCTTATGCCACTGAGCTATATCCCCAGCCCTGCCCCCTGTATTTTCAAGGAAAGGGGAAAATGAAAGTGAAGGCTTTGCTTGTGTAGGGAAAATGAACCAAGACTGGGAGATCTGTCCTCTACTTTCATCTCCTGCTCACTCTGGAAAAGCCTGGCTCACTTACCTGACCATTGTCAATGGAACTTTTCTTTGACCTTAGTTGAAATATACCGATCCTGTGTTCAAAATACATCTCCTGTAGATGACAATCACTGTTTCAAATGGGTGCTTCGGTATTCACTGTTTTGAAACCTTAATAATGGTCCCATAATACACACTGCTATTTTTCTCAGAGTTATTTATTTTTCCTACAAACCTTCCCAGGGAGTAATTTAAAAGCTTCTATTCTATAGCTCCAAAAGATGATCTCTTTTTCTTTTAGAAAATCTTAAGCTTTTCTTTTTCAGACTCTGCAATAGACGTTTCCATATACAAATGGGACTGATTTTGAGTGACAATGTTTAGTGACAGTCTGACAAACAATGCTCTGCTATTTTTTCTTTTCCTTTTTCTTGAAGTTTGGCACCACAGATGTTTTAAACTCTTCCTGTCTTAGCAGTGGTAGTGTTATCCAAGGCCTTAAAACTTTTACTGCTGCTGAGTCTTAAATATTTAAAATAGGGAGCTCTCTTGCAGACAGGAATATTAAGGAGGAAAGTGGCAGGGGAAGAAGGAGGGGGATCACCCTGACAAATGCTAAGCAGCTGCAATGTTGATAAATTAGTATTAAGCACACAGAATGAAAGGTCACATGTGAGATGTATGTTTACTTAGAGAAATATTTGTGTATTTCTCTGGCCAGAAAGTAGAATGGAGGGCTTCTTTAGAGAACTTCTGTGACCCAATGAACTAAAAATTCCAATAATATCTATGTCCAGTTGTTTTTTGACAAACACCTTAAACTTCCCCTTCTCAGTAAGATGCTAAAAATCTGATGGAGGAGATAAAACTGCAGCAAGTTCAAAGTGAACATCTTATCAGAATCTGCTATATGCATGAGGCCCCAGATTATTTGATTTTGTAATTCTCTGTAGCTAAAAGAGTCATCCAGGAATACTTTAAGTCTTCTTAGTCTGTAGGGAAACCTGCTCTTCTTAGAACTTGGCGT